TTAAGAACAAATCTTAACTTCTAAGTTACGGAGCTGGCACCGTGTGTGGTGTAACACCATGAACACAGAGGCCAGCGTTCACAGAGCATGCCAGTCCCAACCAGGTGGGCCAACTCCTTGAACCTGGGGGCTCAATAGGCCCCTCCATGTGGCATCACTAGCTGGGAGAGGGTGCCCTCAGAGGGGTCGCCAGGCCTCACAGGACACCCCCTGCCCTCTGCGATGGAGCAGAAGGTGACCTGAAGTGTCCCCAGCCAGTCCCCAACCAGCCTCCCACAGCCCCCCCTCCACCATGCCCTGTACCTTCTGCTGGATGCAGAGGACCGAAGGGATTCAACCCAACAGCTTGGCTTTAAGCCAAGTGCTGCTGGCTCACGCCTATCATCCTAGCTACTCAGGAGGCTGAGTTCTAAGGATCATGGTTCAAAGCCAGCCCGGGTGGGAAAGCCCGTGAGACTCTTATCTCCAATAAACCATTCAGCAAACCAGAAGTGGCCGCTGTGGCTCAAGTGGTAGAGCGCTTGCCTTGAGCTGAAGAGCTGAGCGACAGCGCCCAGGCCCAGAGTTCAAACCCCACGACTGACAAAAAAGTAAAAAAAAGAAGAAAGTCAAGCAAGAAGAAGAGGCCCTGAGTTCAAATCCCAGTATTGGTGCACATACACACACACACACACACACACACACACACACACTGCTTGGCTCTCTCTCATACTCCCTCCTTCCTTGCCTCCCTGGCTCTATCCAAAGCCAGCTGCTGGTTCTGGAACCTTCTGCTCCTCCTTCCCTTCTTTCAGCCTCTGCAATCCACAATCCCCCAGCAGCTGCCCTGCGCCGTGTCCACCTGCCCTGCGCCTGATCATCTTGGCCAGGCAGGAAACTCACCGTCCATCTCCCGCCTCGACCCTCCTCCAGGCTCTGCCCTCGCTCACCATCACCCCTTTCTCTGCTCCTAGTGTTTCTAGAACCTTCTCTGCCATGTCTGTCCTCATCTTACTGTAGCTAAGCATGCATTCCCACTGTGCGGCTGAGATGGAGCCCATCAAGGTCACGGTGACCTCTGTATTCTACAGCCACTTCCTTGTCACCCTCTTGAATTTAATGGTGACTCTTTTTTTTGGGGGGGGATGGGTCAGTCGTGGGGCTTGAACTCAGGGCCTGGGCGCTGTCCCTGAGCTCTTTTTGCTCCAGGCTAGCGCGCTACCTCTTTGAGCCACGGCACCCCTTCTCGTTTTGGAGATAAGAGGTTCATGGACTTTGCTGCCTGGGTTGGCTTTGAACCTTGGATCCTCAGGTCTCAGCCTCCTGAGTAGCTGGGATTTAGGTGTGAGTCACCAGTGCCTGGCAAGCCTTCCAGCCGCTCCCTGCACGTCCCCCCCAAAAATAAGAGGTTTAGCCCCCTACTTTCCCAGTCCTCCCAGTCTCTCTCTCTCTAGGCAGGCAGGGGCAGCGATCTCCCCACGGAGGGGCTCACATCCGGGCTGGACCACTCCCGTGCCTCAGTTCACCCTCTAACAGCTGCCCGCTGGACACAGACACATCACGAACCCCCAGAGCTAATAAGTCCCCCTCCTCCCCCCTCCCCTCGGCTTCCTCGTCCCAGCCGCCCAGCTGCCACCGCAAGCCGCCCTCTGTCCTCAGATGCTGCCACCAAATGCCTAAGAGCCGGTAATTTATAAAGAATAGAGGTTGATTTGACTTTGGAGACGGAGAAACGCGGCGCCCAGCATCTGCTCAGCGGCTGGGGGAGATGAGAGGCCCCGGGGCTGGGTTGGAGCTTGGGGGAGGCAGGAGAACCAAGCCCCTCCTCTCACATCCCTTCCCAGCCTCCCCCCCCCCCCCCCCCTCCCCCCCCCCCCCCCCCCCCCCCCCCCCCCCCCCCCCCCCCCCCCGCGCAGCCTCTTCTTCAAAAGCCACTGGTGCTATTCCTCATCTAACCCAAGCACCTCCTCAAGGACTGTCTCCAGATGCGAATTGGGGCCACCCCACAGGACTCAGCCTTCAGAGCTGGTCCTCAGACCCACCCCCAGCTCCACAGCTGGACCCTTGCTCTGTCCTCTCAGCCTGAATCTCTTCCCTCCTCCCCAGGACCACGCAACTCCACACACACAAAAAAAGGGGTTCATGCCTGTGGTCCTAGCTACTCCCCAGAAGGCTGAGATGGCAGGATCACACTTCAAAGTCAGCAAAGAAGTCCTTGCAACTCCATCTCCAAAGTAACCAGTTAAAAAAAAAACACCAGGACTGGGGGCGTGGCTCAAGCAGTAGAACATCGGCCAGCCAAACGAGCAAGCTGAGCCAGGTGCCGACGCCCTGAGTTCAAACTCTGGTAATGCAAACATAAAAGGAAATAAACTCAAATCAGGAGCTGGGGGTGTGGCTCAATGGTGAGTGCTTGCTTAGCAGGCCGCAAACCCTGGGCCCAACCCCAGCAGCTCAAATAATAATAACAACATAGAAATGAACCCACATTATAAATCAACCCACCAGCCCCTTGCATTACACTTCTAAAACATGTGACCCAGGGTCCAACAGCTCCTGCATTGGATATTGTGGTGAGGGGGAAGGGATGGGTATGCTATTCCTGGGGCTTGAACTCAGGTCACAGGTACTGATTTTGAACTTGTTCACTCAAGGCTGGTGCTCTACCCCTTAAGCTACAGCCCTTCTTCTGGCTTTCTTTTTGCTGGTTAAATGGAGATAAGAGTCTTGCTCAGGTTGGCTTTAAACCTTGATTGTCAGATCTCAGCCTCCTGAGTAGCTAGGATTACAGGTGTGAGCTACTGCTGTCCAGCTTTGCATTAGTTCTTTTCTTTTTCTTTTTCTTCTTTTTTCTTTTTTGTCGGTTGTGGGGCTTGAACTCTGGGCCTGGGCACTGTCCCTCAGCTCTTCAGCTCAAGGTGAATGCTCTACCACTTGAGCCACAGCATCACTTCCAGTTTTCTGGTGGTTAATTGGAGATAAGACTTTCCTTATTGGGGACTTTCCTTACCTGGGCTGGCTTTGAATCACAATCTTCAGATCTCAGCCTCCCGAGTAGCTAGGATGACAGGCGTGAGCCACTGGTGCCTGGCTGCATTGGTTATTTTCAGGTTGAGATGGAACTTCCCAATTTTTTTTTTTTGTGTGTCCGGTTGTGGGGCTTGAACTCTGGGCCTGGGCGCTATCACTCAGCTCTTCAGCTCAAGGCTAGCGCTCTACTACTTGAGCCACAGCGCCACTTCTGGCTTTTTTTTTCTGCTTTTGTAGTGTTGAGGAATCGAACCCAGGGCCTTAAGCATGCAAGGCAAGTGCTCTACCACTGAGCCACCTTCCCAGCCCAGGAGCTTCCCAAATTTTAAAGTCTGTGTTGGCCTCAAACCACAATCCTCCATTCTCACCTTCCAAGTAGCTTAAAAGATTACAGGCTTAAGGCACCGTGCCTGGCTGAGGTTTTTTTTTTTTTTTTTCATCTGTTGGTAGTGCTGTGGGTTGAACTCTGGGCCTCCTACTTGCTAGGCAGGTACTCTACTGCTTGAGCCACGCCTCCAGCCCCAGGGTCCAATTTTCGAAACCGAATGTTTAAAATGCAATCACAAAGGCGCACTGAGGTATCTGAGTGAAGTGTAATTTTCATTTATTGAGTTTTCTTCAAACATAGTCTTTCCTACTTGGGGGATAAATGGAATGCAATCTAGAAATCAATGCTTTTCTAAACTAAGACTTTGGGAAATTAATTATTTTGCTAGCAGGCCTCATGTAGCTTCTGGGTGTAGCTGAGAGTTTAGTGTTATGTGTCCCGCTTTTATTTCCCTGGTCTGTTCCAGGGTGGGGCTCAATACACCTCCCTCTCCCCTGCCCTCATGTTGTAAATAAGGAAACTGAGGCACCAAAAGGGCCTCGTGAGGGAGAACTTACAAAACAAGTTGCGCAAGGCACCTGTGGCTCATGCCTATAATCCTTGCTGCTCCAGGGGGCTGAGATCTGAGGATCACGGTTCAAAGCCAGCTCAAGCCGGAAAGTTGGTGAGACTCTTACCTCCAGGAAATCAGCAAAAAGCAAGACGTGGAGCTGGAGGCTCAGTGGTAGAGCACCATCCTTGAGCGGAAAGAGTCAAGCAAGAGTGTGAGGCCCTGAGTTCAAGCTCTAGTATGGGCAGAAAGAAAGGAAGGAAGGGAGAGAGGGAGGAAGGGAAGGAGGGAGACTGTAATAGCTGAAGTAGAAAGCCAGGCCTAAATTTCAGACAAGGGACTGGCAGGGCCCGGGGGGACAGGGGGTGCTCTGCCCAGGAGGGGGGGCGTGGCTTCTCCCTGGGGAGCCATTTTGAGGGACAGCACATGGGCAGAGATGGAGGCCACTAGTGTCCACTGTAAAGTGTAACGATTGAGACAGGGTAGCAGCTGGTCTGGGTGGCTCGTGCTTGTTAGAGCAGCAGATATTGATAGGGAGGCAGAGATTGGGAGGATTGAAAGTGGAGACCAGCTGGGGTAAAATGTTAGTGAGACCTCCTTCCCCCCACCCCGGCCATCTCAACAAAACCAACTGTCCTGGAGGTAATTTTACAGAATATTTTTCATGTACTCACACTGTGTGTGTGTATGTGTGTGTGCACACATGCGTGCCAGTCCTTGGGCTTGAACTCAGGGCCTGGACGTTGTCCCTGAGCTTTTTCACTCAAGGCTGGCACTCTGCCACTTGAGCCACCGCTCCATTTCCAGCTTTCTGGTGGATTCATTGGAGATAAGAAAGTCTCACCGACTTTCCCACTCCAGACTGGCCTCGAACCACCATCCTCTAGATCTTAGCCTCCTGAGCAGCTGGGATGGCAGGCGTGCAGGGGCAGGGGGCGTGGGGGGGGGAGGTCGGGGCTCTGTTATGCGTGCTGGGCCCGGGTAGCAGTCAAGCCATCCACGATCCACGGCTGTCCTGCTGGCCTCCCTCCCCTGGGGTCCCCCGGGGGGGGGCCTGGGTGGGGATGAGGCCTCTCCCGTCCCCTGACGCCCGCTCTGCTCCCCGCCCCGCAGGCCTGCTGGGAATGGTGGCCCACATGATGTACACCCAGGTGTTCCAGGTCACCGTGAGCCTCGGCCCCGAGGACTGGAGACCCCACTCCTGGGACTACGGGTGGTCCTTCTGGTGAGTGACCTGTGACCCACAAGGCAGAAGCGCCCCAAGGCATGCTGGGACACCCGTGTCCAACCCAGGTGTGGGCCGTTTGCTTATCCGCTAAGGGGTAAGCCCCGCTCCCACCCCACCCCAGGCCAAGGGCGGCAGCCTGGGCCTCCAGCCACCCCTGACCACCTGTTTTCAGGTGGCTGCATGTGTTTAGATGCACAAATATTGCATGCCATGTGTGATTGACATGTGTCAATCATACACGTGTCCCCGGTGCGCACGGCCCCGCCCACCGTTTGTATTATTTCTGGGCTGCTGTCGCAGCAAGTGTCCTGGAGACCCCTGGTCTCCACGGGTCACCCTCCAGCCCCGCCTCTGCCCTGAAGGCCAGCTCTGGAAGGTGGAGGTGGAAGCTGGTGAAGCCTAGCAGGTTCTGGAAGGTTCTGGAAGCAGGAGAGAGGATTCCCAACCTGGGAGGCTGGATGTAGGATGGCAGTACCTCGGGGTGGAATGTGCCCAGGGAAGATGCCAGGATTCCCTTCGGCTTGGGAAAACTCCACGTCCATGAGCCCATGAGACTCGTGGGCTCCATGGTGGGCGCTGGGGCCACTAGGCCTGAGCTCCTTTCTCCTGGGCCTCCGTGTCTGAGCCTCCCTCCCTCCTGCTGGTGAGGAAACACCCCGACAGAGGCTGCATGCAGCCCAGTACAGAGCGCCCAGGACTCCTCTCCGTCCATTCATTCACCCAGGGCTCACTGCAGCTAGACAGTGCGGGGAACTTCCCGACCTGGCTCTCAGCCAGGATCCCCTCTGAAGCTAGGAATCAGACAAAAGCTCTCGAACAGAGAATACTGCTGGGCAAGCTCACGCAACCCCGGCCTCAGGCCCCGCTGGATCCGGGAGATCTGCGGAACGGATCTGAAACTCAGCCACTCTGTCTCTTTCCAGTCTCTGTTCTCTTTGTGGTGGTTCTGTCATGGCTTTATTATGAAGCAGAGCGGCTCTAGATTTGTCTCTTACAAAGAAAAGCAGTACAACCGGCCAGGCAGACGAGGGTTTCCTCCTCAATACTCCCAGCAAAAATCGTGGTTGGGGTTTTGATTGGCTTCAGTCACGTGATACCCTGGGAGCCAATGAGGCCCCGGCAGCAGAGGTACGGACTGTCCGGCTTACGAGTCTGACTTATGTGGTCCAGAGGCCCGCCCCTCCCCTCCAAGTTGAATACAGAAAGAAGAAGATCCCTCCCCATCCCCCCCCCGCCCCCTGTGGATGCCAGTGGAGGTGGAGGAGTGTCTGTTACCACACAAAAGAGTGCTTGAAGACCACGATCACAAAGGTCCGTGACACAGGCTGCCTGCGTCTGTGTCCTGGCCCCCTGGCTGGCCACCATTTGCCCATCGGGTCATTGGACATGTTGATGGGGCCTGACCTCCACGATGTCCATTCTGTGGCCTGATGGTGTTGTCCCACAAGGGGGTGAGGGGGTTAAGCCAGCCTTGCCTGGAAGGACGGCGTCAGGGGTGGCCTTTTGGCCTCTGTGACAAAGAAGAGGCAGGAAGGATGGATTGGGGCTCACGATTTCGGTCTATGGTCTGCCAGCTCCTTTGCTTTCGGGGCCCTGGCGAGACAGCGTCATCATGGCGGAAGGCCTGGTAGAGGAGAGCTGCTCACCTCCTGGCAGCCAGGAAGCAGAGAGTCGGGGGGGACCCAGGGAAACCATCTGGAGCACACCGCAGGTACCGCCCCAAAGTGAATCTGTGAAGGGATTAACCCACAGATTAGGCCAGAGGCCTCAGGATCCAGTTTCCTCTCAATGGATGGATCTCTCGGCCTTCTACGCTTCCCTCCCACTTGGCTTCACCCCTGGGATTTCCTTAAAGAGACTTTGACCCATGAACAGCAGTCCTGATGCTCTAAGTAGAACAATCCCAGGGAAAGCATCTCTGGCTCCAGCTTCTCTGTCCATCTTCCCTGCCACCCCCAAGGGCCTTCCTTCCTTCCTTCCCAAGACTTTGATCTCGGGAGGTTGTTCATCCTGAGCCCCTGATGGTGTCCCAGGAAGGGAGCTCACGTTCCAGGCTGAGCAGGTGTGAAGGTCTTGCCCTCACTGATCTCTGACTATGCCACAGATAATAGTAGGCTCCAGGTCGACTCTTCCTGGTAGTCTGGAGACCTCACACAAGCCACCTGTGGTGTCAGAGGTGGGATTCGAACCCAGGTGGTGCAGCCCGGCCTGCTGCTCTCCAACACAAACACCAGCTTTTCTTACCTCCCCTCTGCTGATGGGGGTTTTAATCCACGCGTGGATCCGTGTGATCTCAGAGAGGTTTGGTCACTTGCCCTGGGCCACACAGCACAAAGCGGCAGCACTCGGGTTCATCTCTGTCCGCTGTCTCCCCTCGGAGGCTGCTGAGGTCCCCTGAGGACCTTCCCTCTTCTGGAAGCCGAGACCTCCTGCCCTGTCCCCAGCAGCCCCCAGCTCCATCACTTAGAAAAGGCCGGGTCGTGATGGCTGCTTCTTTCTCGCTGTCACCCAGACTCACAAGATGGATCGGGCCCATTTCCCATCTCTCACATTTGGGGCATCGCCAGGGCTGGGCCTTGTCATCTTTCTTGTTTAATAGATGTGAGGCCATCTGTCACAATGGTCACCCCAGAGCCCCTCTAGCCCACCCAGGCATGGAGCGGGGACAGAGCCGGCCTGTCTCCAGGCCCAGTAGGAAGACCTGGGCTGGGGGGAGAGGGGGGGGGTCAGGGGACTCTGGGTGTTTTAAGGGGGGGCTTTGGGGGCTCTGGGGGAGCTTGAGAGGCTTTTGGTGACCAGAGCTCGCAGCATAGAGGCCTCTGTGTTGTTTGGCTGCATTCTACCCAATGATGGCCGTGGAGAAACCACAGCCCCAGTAGCATGGCTCCGTGGGGCTCTTCAGTGACGACACCCAAGACCGGTATCCGCCCTCCAGCTCCCCCAGACCCCGCCACCCCCCTGTGCCTCTCAGATTCCCACATCTCCGCCCCGGTAACAGCCCCAGATTTGATCCAGGACCTTCGGCCATTTTGAGCTTTCTCAGGATGGAGAAAGATAGAAAATGGGCTCCTCAGACTCTGACACACACACACACACACACACACACACACACATATGCACAATAACCCCATCCTGAGCAGACTGGGGACAGGGGCTATCACGGGAGCTGGAGACTGTGAGAATTACAAGGGCTGGGCATGGTAGTGCACGCCTGTAATCCCAACCCTCGGGAGGAAGAGGCAGGAGGAGGCAAGTCTGAGGCCAGTCTGGGTGACACAGTGAGGACCTGCCAGCACAAAAGCACCAGAGGACGAGTGCTAGGGTCTGGGAGTCTGACTCAGTTTCCACAGCCCAGAGAAGAGCAAGTTGGGCCGAGTGCTAGGAGCTTCTCTGTCCTGTCCTGGTGGTGCGTCTCTGTACCTGGTACCCTTAGAGACAAGAAATATGACACCTTGCTGCCACCCTCCCTTGCTCTTCCGATTGAGATGCCTGCCCTCTCCGTGGGCATTTGGGTAGCTGAGCCCCGGCCTTCCGAATGGAATGGAGAGATGTGCTGGGCTCACTGGCCAGCAGAAAGCTTGCTCCTCCTCCTGTCCCCTGAGCCATGGGCCAGCGCCAGGCCTGTGGGTCCGTGGGCTCCGAAGGTGGCCTGGGACGGGTATTTGCGCCCTTGCTCCGTCCCGAACCTGCAGTGGCTGCAGTCTCCCTCCGAGATGTTATAAGCGACCTCCCACAGCGCCAGGCAGGAGTCCCTCGCGAAGTGCTGTCCCAGTGTCCGCAGCTCTGTCTCCCACACCCTCCCCTCCTCTGCATCTCCCCGGGGACAGGGGACCATGACAGCTGCCCCACTCCTGAGAACCAGGCCAGTCACGCACATGCCTCACGCAGCACCAGCTCGGAAACACAAGCTGCAGATGACCCAGAAGCTGCTCCAGCCTCTGAGTTCCCAGACCGCACCCACCGCCCTGGGGACCTGGGGGTGGGAGAGGAGGCCGGGAACAGGACAGTGCTTCATAGCTGATATTAATCAACGAATTAATTAATTCATGCCTATCCTGAAGCTTAACCTCAGGGCCCGGGCACTGTCGCTGAGCAATATCGTTATTGTTGTTTGCTTAAGACGGGTGCTCTACCAAGCGAGCCATAGCTCCACTTCTGCTTCGAGGTGGTTAATTGGGGAGATCAGAGTCTCGCAAGACGTCAGTGCCCAGTGGTATGGAGAGCACCCGTCTGGTGCCAGTGGAGGCCGCTGGGGAGGAGTCATGGTGCATTCTGCCCCTCTCAGCCAGGACTGTGTTGACAGAGGCCCAGTGTGGAGAGCCACGTCTCACACCCCTGCCCAGAGCTCATGGCCAGGGGAGGGTGGAGGGGGGGCGGGGGGGGCAGACCTGGGCATCCACCCCTGGCTGGGAGGAACCAGCGGGCAGCCCCTCCCCTTTTCTCATCGGCATGAAAGGCAGCTGAATCCCCAAGGTTTAAACGAGGTCCATAATCTCATTAAAAAAAAAAAAGTACCCCGACTATCACAGTTGCAAGCGAAATCACTTACCGTTTGAAATAATAAGGGCTAGGAAGCGTCGATATAGAAAATCAATCAATCCCTTCCACACCACAGCCAGGGGGCTCGGCCCCAGCGCGGAAGGCTCGTTTGGTATTTGAAAACCAGGCATCGTCCATCCACCATATCCACACACTGAGGGGAAATCAGACGCTCCAGTGATGGAGGGAAAAATGCATGGCACAATTAGATGTCTATGCGTGGCGGGAAAGGCTTAGGGAATTTGAGCTCCCTGCTCCAACTCCGTGAGGAGTTGGTAGGAGCCCCTATTGGCTGCCACCGCACGGACAGACGGGGTGTTTGGTCTCCAGTGCTGAGATGTTCTCCATAGTACAATAAAGCACACGCGTGCACGCGCGCGCACACACACACACACAGAAATAAAATCTGATAGATGATGAGATTGTCCATGTAGAAAAACCCACAGAGCCGGGTTACCTGTAGCTCACACCTGTCCCACTAGCTAGTCAAGGAGGCTGAGATCTGAGGCGTGCACTTCGAAGCCGGTCCTGGCAGAAAAGTCTGGGAGACTCTTAGGTGTGCTAAGCCACCAAAAAGGCTGGAAGTGGAGCTGTGGTTCAAGAGGTAGAGCCCCAGCCTGGAGCAAAGAAAGAAAAGCTCGGGGACACCACTCGGGCCCTAAGTGTAACCTTGGGACCTGCACCAAGAAAAACAAAAGACAGACCTAAAAACCATGCCTGGGAGGTTGGATGAGCTACCCCATTTCTGGTACACCGTCCTGCCCAGAGTGATCGGCTTGGACGTCATTTCTAGAATGGAAGCGTGGCCCACAGCCAGGCAAAGCAGCTTTACCTCCCAGGGGTAGAACTGGCCATGCAAGTCAGGCAAGGGACAGCGGGCTGATCTCTGTGGCCAGATGTCCAACCTATGTAATGGCGCAGGGTCACTGTATCCTTGAACATCATGGTGACACCTAGAGCTGGCCTTTGTCCTGCTCCATCATCAACCGCACCTGTGACTCTCCAGAGTCTCCCCCCCCCACTTCCTGCAGCCTCCTGGCTCCCTGGCTTTGCATGCTCCGTTCCCTTCTCCTGGGGGCGGAGCCTGGGCATGGCTGGCAGGGCAGGGGGCGTGGTCTGGAAGCTCCCCACCCTGGCCAGTCCTCACTGGAGCGTCCCTGTCCTGCTCTCCTCTCTCTCGCTCTCTCTCTCTCTCCAGCCTGGCCTGGGGTTCCTTCACCTGCTGCATGGCGGCCTCTGTCACCACGCTCAACTCCTACACCAAGACCGTCATTGAGTTCCGGCACAAGCGCAAGGTCTTCGAGCAAGGCTACCGGGAAGAGCCCACCTTCATGGATCCGGAGGCCATCAAGTACTTTCGGGAGAGGTCAGTGCGGGCCGCTGGGCTGGCCCTGTCCACCCCCCCCGAGGGTGGAGCTGGAGGCGTGGCCATTCCCAAATGAGCCAACCCTCAGTGGTAGAGCGCTTGCCTAGCATGCAGGAGGCCCTGGGTTTGATTCCTCAGTACCACATACACAGACAAAGCTGGAAGTGGCGCTGTGGCTCAAGTGGTAGAGTAAAAGAAGCTCAGGAACAATGCCCCAGGCCCTGAGTTCAAGCCCCAGGACTGGCAAAAAAAAAACAAAAACAACAACCAAAGGAGCGATCCAACACAGGCTTTCGGGGAGCCCATGCGGCCTTCCTTCCTTTCTCAGTCTTTCCTGAGAACACCTCCCAAGGAAACCACCGGTCCTCCATCCCTCCCTCCCTCCCTCTCAGCCTCTCCTTTACTTCCTCTCTCCCTCCTTTCTTCATTCCTCCCTCCCCTCCATTCTTCCTTTCTTCCTTCCTCCTTCCCTCCCTTTCTCTCTCTCCACCCCCTCTTTCTCCCTCCCTCCCTCCCTCCATCCATTCTATTTTAGTTTATTACATTTTTTCTCGGCAAAGCAGTACTGTGGATGGAACTCAGTGCTCTGATGAGCATGTGCTCTACCATACCCATGTCCCTAACACCTGCCATTTCTAAGGCAGGCTGGAGGCTGGAGGCTGGAGGGCGGAGGCTGGAGGCTGTGCAGTCAGCCTTGCTGGCTTATGCCCTACATTTGGCACAAACTACTATTCTCTCCCCTTCCCTCCCCTCCCCTCCCCTCCCCTCCCCTGCTCCCTCCCCTCCCCTCCCCTCCCCTCCCCCCCTTCCCCTCACACAGGGACACTCTGCCTGGCCTCCCCCAGCCTCCGGCTCTGCACTAGGGGGACGGATGGGAAGGTGGAGAACAGGATGAGAGAAAGGCGGGAAGTCAGGGAGGGTGGAGAACGTGAGACGCCATGCCCAGTCCTGGACAGAGCTGGGGACCGGGTTAGAAGTGAGACCGGAGGAAAGAGAGGTCTCAGGCTGCAGCAAAGCAGACAATGAGGAAGAAAGAGACAGAGGGAAGGTTCCAGATGTATGCCCGTGGCAGCTGATGCTCCTCAGCGTCCGCTGGGAGCCTACAGCTGGAGTGGGTGTTCCTCTAGGGCACAGGATTGTGACGCTGGACGGGGCCTCTGGGATTCGCATAAGTGACAAACAAATGCCAGCAGATGGGATGCTCCATTGCCCGGCCCAGATGCCTGCCCTGAATTTAAGCCCCAGAGCCAGAACTATCTACCCCCCAAAAAAAACACCCCAAATATTAAGCCGCTACGAAAAGCCTATCACCCTCAAAACAGAAAGTAAGGTTATGTATAAGGAAGGCTCTAGATCTGATTCCTTACCTTTTGTCCTACTGAATAAACCACATGGACAGTTGGACCTATATTCTCCTCACTATTTCCCTGTGCAGATCGGTGTGTAATCTGGGAAAGCAAGTGAACTTTTGTGATGCACGCCTGGTTTGTGATGCACAGAGTTGGTGAACCACACAATTATTGGCTGGCAACTGGGGGTCTTCTTTTCTGTGAGAACAGTAGGCTTGCCTCTCTAGTCTGCCCCAGTTTTCCCAAGCATTGCATAAAAAAATACGAAGGTAAAAGATCCTCTCACCAAGAGGTGTAAGTGTCCTTTGTAAAATGTTTCCTCCCAAAGCGAGGCCCCAATCTCTGTCAGCTCAGCCTCATTCTCAAACACGTGCTTGAATTGTGTGTGTGTGTGTGTGTGTGTGCGCGCGCACGCCAGTCCTGGGGCATGAACTTGGGTCTGGGTGCTATTCCCTGAGCTTCTTTGGCTCAAGGCTTGTGTTCTACCACTTTGAACCACAACTGTTTTCTGGTGGTTAATTGGAGGTAAGAGTCTCATGGACTTTCTTGCTTGGGCTAGTTTTGAATTGTGATCCTCAGATCTCAGCCTCCTTAGTAGCTAGGATGACAGCTGTGAGCCATCGGTACCTGGATGGATTTTTGTTTTTGTTGGTTTATATTAGTTACATAGTGGGGATTTCATTGTTATATTTCTACATGTTTATTTTGTATTCCAACACCCATCCCACCTTTATATCTTTCCTTTTTTTTTTTTGATTGTGGGGCTTGAACTCGGGGCCTGGCCTCTGTCCCGGAGCATTTTTGCTGAAGGCTAGCATTCTACCACTTTGAGACACAGCACCATTTCTGGTTCTCTGGTCATTAGAGATCAGAGTCCCATGGATTTTTCTGCCCGGGCTGGCTTTGAACCACAATCCTCAGATCTCAGCCTCCTGAGTAGCTGGGATGACAGGCATGAGCCACCAGTGCCTGATTTCCTCCTTCCTTCCTTCCTTCCTTCCCTCCCTCCCTCCCTCCCTCCCTCCCTCCCTCCCTTCATTCATCTCTTCCTCTCTTCCCAGGATGGAGAAGGGCGATGGGAGTGAAGAGGAGGACTTCCGCTTAGACTGTCGCCACCAGGGCTATTCAACTCGTAAGTACCCAGCTGCCAATCCTCGGGATCCCTCCCCCTGCACCTCTGCTCACCAGCGATCCTCAGGGTCCCCACCCCACCTCTGTTTGGTGAAACTGAGGCTGGGGTCTCAGCATAGTGACTGAAACCCCAAGCTGCAGCTGTCACATCAGGCGGGATGCAGAGACAGAGGGAGAGCAGGGAGCTGTAAAGACCTGTGGGGAGTCACAGCCTGGGGGTCTGCCTCAGAGAGAGACAGACAGACAGACAGAGAGACAGAGAGACAGAGAGAGAGTAGCCTGAGTGGAGGGAATTCATCAAGTCAAGGGTGCCCCAGACCCTGAATTCAAGCGCGCGCGCGCGCGCACACACACACACACACACACACACACGCAGAATAAATGGGGTTAAGAAGCAAAGCTATGCCCATGGATGGGCGGCAGGCTGCTGGTGGCGTGGCAGCATGAGCCAAGCCTTCCTGTGCGGTGTGAGCTCCGCGTTCTGAGCATGCTCAGTTTTTCCTCCTGGTGTCCCGGGGGCCACATGCCCCAGATCCCTACGTGCCGCCCCTGCTGTCGCCTCCGCCCCCGTGTGCCCATTGCTTGTGCCTGTGTGACCGGAGAACAGGGCGACCCTGGCAAGTTCCCACTCCACCCAATGGCCGGAGTCATCAAAGCGGCTGCCTGGCACCCGTGGCTCACGCCTGTCATCCCGAGCTGCTCAGAAGGCTGAGATCTGAGGATCCGTGGCTCATACTCAGCCCCGGTGGGCAAGCCTGCGAGACTCTATCTCCAGTTAATTAACCCCCTCCCCCCAAAAGAGCCAGAAGAGGACATGGAGAGAGGCCCGTGATCAGAACAAGCCTGGATGGGGGCCGGGGCAGGCGGGAGGGGAGGAGGCAGGGCCAGGGGAAGGCGGGGCCTCGGCAGCTCAGGCCTCTTGCAGCCGGCAGGTTCCCTGCCCAGACCATATTTTAGAGCTTCGGGGGCTGAGTTTTACAAGCCCGGCTTGCTGGCAGGAGGCTGAGAGACTTGAGAAGAGGGGCTGGCTTTTCGTGCAAGGAGGGAAACTGAGGCTCTGAAGGCCACCAACTTTGCTGCGATCTCCTATTCTCTGGATGATGTTCGGATCTGATGGTCCGCTCTAGGCCTTGACTCTTCTCCCTCCCCCACCCCCCAACAGCTGGAGCCCTCAAGCCCATCTTTCCCTGGGGCCACCTGCTCTTCTCCCTGCCCCGGTGCTGGCCTGCTACATCTCTCCATGCGTGGCTCATTTTGTCCCATTGATGGGAGCTGTCACCCATCTATACCAGTCTAATTGCCCATCATGGCCTCATCCTTCCTTCCTCCCTCCCTCCCTGCCTCCCTCTCCTTCCTTCCTTCCTTCCTTCCTTCCTTCCTTCCTTCTTCCCTCCCTTAGCCTTCCTTAGTACAGTCATGAGCCATCATATCCCACTTATTTATCGAGATGAAGTCTCGCTAACTGGCCTTGAACCACAACCCTCCTAATTTCCACCTCCCGCAGGGCTGGGATTACAAGCGTGAGCCACCCACCTTGCTCAGCTCACACATTCTCTTCTTTCCAATTTTGTCCCTGTCGGAGACTCTCGTCTGTATTTCTGTGTGGTTCCTATTTGTCTGCCCGGCTCCGTTTCCCATCCACCCACCCTGCGTCCTGTGGTCTCCTGTGTGTCTCCTGGGGGCCAGCGTGGCACACAGTACAAGTCCAGTGCTTGTCTGAGTCACTACCCCTGTCCCCCATCCCCGCTACCATGTCTGTATAAGCCGTGGCATCGATGCTCCATCCTCAGAAAACGGGCCCCGACATTGTTGCTGCTCACTCTGGGTTTCTGTGGCTTATTCTCATGGACGAATGAGTTGGTTTCCGAACTAGCTGGTGCCACCAGCTAGCTGGGGGACACGTGGAAGGTGGCATCCGATGGCGCTCGGAGCAGGCCTGCCCTTCCGTGTCCAGGCGGCTGAACCCCACAGACCATCCTGGCTGTCTGCGTTCCTCAGTGCTGGACTCTTGCCGGCCGGGCCTGGCCAGGCACAGAGGCGGCTTCTGGGAGTTTCTGGAAGCTTCCGTCTAGACGGGTCTCAACCACTGCGGCCTTGGGTGCAGCAGAGGAAATTTCACGGCTGAGCCCACAGCAACTTGGCATTTTTATTAGATGGGAATCAGATCCAATCGGGGGGCGCCTCAAGTCCCTTCCTTTATTAACACGGAAGCAGAGCGTATTTGTGGAATAAATATCAGTGGGGCAGCATCTTGTACCCAGGCATGGGGTGGGTGGGTGGGGGAGCGGGTGTTGGTGTGGAGACCACACAGAACTGGGCGGTGGGGCAGCCAATGGCCACCTGCCATCACGGCACCTGCTGAAATGCGGTTTCCCCACCGGGTCCATCGGCCTCCCATCGGCCCTCTGCATGGGTTGGGGCTGGGGATGGTGTCCGGTTACCCTGTGCAAAGACAGGAACTCCTGAGGTGCGGGTGAAGCTGGCTGCTTTTACACTGAGCACCAGCACCCGGCACCGAGCACCCAGCACCCGGCACCGAGCACCCAGCACCCAGCACCGATGCAACCCCAGGCCCCACCCGCAGCCCAGCACACTCTGCTTTCCAGTTGTCCTTGTGGCTCATCTTCCCCGCACAGCCTGCTGGGCTTCTCACACCTCTTAAAAGGTTCACAGGCTGGCCAAGAGTCTGCTTCATCCACCAGTCCCTTCTGCCTGAGCCACGCGGCGCATGCGCCCTGGGGCAGCAGCCAGTGTCTCCCAGTCCAGCCCAGTGAAGGCAGCCCGGCCCCAGCAGGTGACCCCATTGCTGCCCGGAGGCTGCAGCCCCACACCCCACCTCCACCCAGGCTTCTCAGGGGATTTGACTTGCACAAGGTTCTGCAAAGGGCTTGAACTCGGGGCCTTACGCTTGCTACACAGGCGCGCTACCATGTGAGCCACAGCCCAGCCCTCGCTTGCCCTGTCGTTCTTTCCTTCTTATTGGCTTTGCCAGGGGGTGGAAATGATTTCCTGCGGGCCTGGGCTGCCTGCAAGCAACACACCACTTGGTTTGCCAAAGATCCAAAAGATACATTTCTTTTTTAAAACTTTTTTTGCCGTCATTTTGGAGCCAGAGGTTTTATTTTGAAATGTGCATCCTCAGCTTCTCTGAATATTTTGGGAGATCTGAACCCAACATACACACGCACGCGCGCGCACGCACACACACACACACACACACACACTTGGCTGGAGGGAGGGGATGGCCTCCCTCTCTTCTTTCTGCACACACAGGTAGTTCCCTTGGACCCACAGCCTCTTTTGAGCTGGGATCTGGAGTCCTCTGCATCCGGCTCTTCATCCAGTTGTCACCAGCTTATTCCCACAGCAAAGGCATGGGCGGGAGGCTCTGCTGAGCTGCGCAGGCCCCGAGCCCCTCTTGGAGACCAGAGGAAGAGAAGAGAGTCCCAGCCTCAGTGAGGGAGTCTGGAGCCAAGGGACAAGAAGCTCAATTTTAACTCAAGCAAGGACAAGGGAGCTGGGCTTTTCTTTCCCTGAAAAATGAAACAAAAATAAACAACACACACACACACACACACACACACACACACACACACACACACACCATGTACATGGGGTGCCGTGGCTCACGCCTATATTCTTAGCTATTCGGGAGGCTGAATAGCTCTGAGGTTTGTGGGTCCAAGCCAGCTGGAAAGTCTTATCTCCAATGGTCCACCAAAAAGCCAGAAGTGGAGCTGTGGCTCAAGTGTAGAGTGCCAGACTTACTTGAAAGAAAAATCTAGGGACCAGCACCCAGGTCCTGAGTACTGCTGTCCATACCCAAAATAAAGCATATTCATTTTCCCGGTTCCCATATAGGAACCAGGTTCAGCCAGCCATGGGCGCTGTGTGTGACCATCTCTAAATAATCATAGAGAAAACAAGCAAAGCTTTTCACAGCATCAAATATTTGCTTCTCTATTTGGAAAAAAAATCAAGACAACAAACAAACCCAAACACCGTTATCTTGGCAGAAACATTTCCAAATGACAACTGTTTTAGTCTTTGAGGCCAGAAACAGCCATTCCCCCCCCCCCCCGCCAAGGCCAGATAATTCCAGAACATTTGCAAAGTGCTCTTTTTCTTTATTTAAAGGGTAAACCTGGCACCACTGACTCAAGCCTGTAATCCTAGCTAGTTCAAAGCCAGCCCATAAAGCTTTTTCTTTTGCCTGTCCTGGCACTTGAACTCAGGGCCTGGGCACTGTCCCTGAGCCTCTTTGTGCACAAGGCTAGCACTCTACCACTTGAGCCACAACAACACTTCCGGCTCTTTATTGGAGATAAGAGTCTCACAGATTTTTCTACCTGGGCAGGCTTCAAAACCACGATCCTCAGATCTCAACCTCCTGGTGTGAGCCACCAGTGCCCAGCTCCATGAGACTCTCATTTCCAATTAACCACCAGAAAACTGGAAGTGATGTGGTGGCTCAAAGTGGTAGAGAGCTAGCCTGGAGCAACACACACACACACACACACACACACACACACACACACACACAGCCATCTCCATCCTCCCTGCCTCTCCAGCCATTGTTTCTGACCAAGAGGTTTGGGAAATGGTGGTACAGTGGCAGCAGTGAGCCCTCTGTCCTTAGAGGTAATCAAGCCAGAGCTTGACTTTGCCAGGGATCTGTGGCTCAGCGGGTTCTCTGCAGGTGTACGTGCGGTCAGGGCAGACGGACGCAGAGGTGGACGGTTGGGAGGGTGGCTGGTGGGTGAACAGGAGGGTGTGGCTGGGTCAGGGGGAGGCTGGACAGGTACACTGGTGGGCAGGCGTGGGGAGGGGAGGAGATCGGCAGCCGTGGCCAGGTGGCATGGACGGCAGCGATCTGTGGAGCGTGCAAGGCAGGAGGTAGGTGGAGGGGACTTTCAGCCCTGGCCCTTGTCTCTTGCAGGACACCAGGCTCACATGGCTGGCTCCTGGCCCCGGAGCTCTGCCCAGGAGGCGCCCGAGCTGAGCCGCCAGTGCTGGGTGCTGGGGCACTGGGTGTGAGGAGCCTGCCAGGCCCACGTGCCCGCCGTCGTGGCTGCTACCGCCCTTCCCGTCACGCCGGTCATCCGGGGCTCTGGGCACCTTGACCACGTCCTGTGGACTCAGCCCATCGCCTAGGAGATGCCAGGCTCGGCCTGCTGCCACCTGCCACTGCCTGGGTCCCCGGGGCCCTGAGCTGGACAAGGGGACACACAGGCTCAGAGAGGCCCGGGGGGCCGCAGCCTGAAATCCTGCCGTCACCGGCAGACACCTGTGGGGGTACAGCCTGGATGCTAAGAAGAGACATGGACGCTGGCCGCCAAAGGCTGGGCACCCGTCACTGGCCAGGGGGCTGATGGGGGACCCAGGGGGCAGGACCCTGTGGGGACAGGGGGGTTCCTGAAGGAGGGGCAGCAGCTGGCACTGCGGGGAGGGGATCACACACAGCAGGCACACAGTAGAGACTCAATAAATGCTTGTTGAACCTGTTTTCTTGCTGTGTCCAGCCCCATTGCTCTCCAGGACACAGGTGACGGCCCAGAGTTGATGTTCAAGGGTGGACAGAGAGAGGGGGCACAGGCGAGTCAGAATGAGATGGACACAGGCAGACAGGTCTGACCGATCCCAGAGGATGGGCGAGAGGCAGGCCCAGCCTGGGTTCTGAGTGGACAGAGGAGAGAGCCACATTCCTCCCGTTAGTCACCCTGTGCTGAGGGCCACCTGTCCATGCCAGGCCCAGACGCCCTGAGCAAGTGATCTCCGCTGTAAGATGACGCCACGTAGGAAAACGGGGACCGAGGAACCTGTGAGGAGTGTGGGCTGCTGTTGGCAAAGCCATGGAACCAGGACTCCAGTCTGCAAGACCAGCCTCCAGGATGCCCCTACCCCTCCTAGAAGTTCTAGGGACTCAGCCAGAGCACATGCTGCTCCTTCACCCATCCATCCATGTATCCCCTATCATCCATCCTCCATCTATCCACCCACCCTTCCACCCACCATCCATCCATATACCCACCCACCCTTCCATCCATCCATCCACCCATCCATCCACCCACCCATCCATCCATCCATCCACCCATCCATCCACCCACCCATCCATCCATCCATCCACCCATCCATCCACCCATCCATCCATTCATCTATCTACCCATCCATCCATTCATCTATCTACCTATCTACCCACCCATCCACCACCCATCAATCCATCCATTATCCACCCATCCATCCATCCACTCACCCACCCATCCATCCATCCATCCATCTACCCATCCATTCATCCACCCATCCATCTACCATCCATCTACCCACCCATCCACCAATCCATCCATCCACCCACCCCCATCCATCCATCCATTTATCCATCCATCCATTCATCTATCTACCCATCCACCCACCTACCCATTCATCCATCTATCCACCCATCCACCTACCCATCAATCATTCCATCATCCCCCCATGCATCCACCCACCCATCCATCCATCCATCTACCCATCCATTCATCCATCCATCCACCCACCCATCCACCAATCCATCTATGCACCCATCCATCCATTCATCCACCTATCCATCCATCCACCCACCCACCCATTCATCCATCTGTCTACCCATCCACCCATCCATCCACCTATCCATCCCCTCATTCATCCATCCATCTACTCATCCATTTACTCACCCATATGCCACCCATCCATCTATAATCCATTCACCACTCATCCATCCATCCATCCATCCATCCATCTATCCATCTAGTGTTTCCATTGGTGTTATCCACCACATCCTTTGTGCCTGTCTAAGGCCAGCTCTTCAGACAGATATGGAAACTTCGAGGGTAGATGGGCAGAGCAGATGACAAGAGCAATGCTCACCGCACAGTGTGCAATGTGCTGTGGTGCTCAGCGCCAGGGCTGGCCAGGGTTCAGATGCCACCTTCTCTGCTTGGAACGGAGGCATGCACTTCTGCTTCCTCTTCTTAACCCTGCTTCTGAAAGACTGAGGGGGGGGGGTGGCGGAGGGGAGGGGAGTAAATCACAGAAAACCAGGGCGCCAGGAGGTGGTCTGCAGACAGCTCCCGGCAGCAGCCGGGCCTGAGCAAGGTATGGCGAGGAGAGGCTCCTTCAGGTAACGATCAAGCCATTCGAGGTGCTGGGATCCGGGTTCCAGTGTGGGAAGACAGGATATTCTAGGACTTGAAAATGGTCCAGACATGGGCAGTCCCCCTGCGGAGATCTCTGGAGCCAGGCAAGGGGGGGGGGCTGGAAGCCATGTGAGGGGGTGGCTTGTCCTGGAGATGACTGGATACTTGCGGGGTACATTCTAGAAAACCCCTGCCGTTCTGGGCTGGGGGCAGATGTGGGAGACGCGCCTCCCTTGTGGTCCTTGTCAGGAAGTGAGAGGAGAGGGGTGTGGCTTAAGATTGGTAGCCCTGGGGGTAGTACCAGGGGAGACTCAGAAGCCCGGAGGGAGGGACAAGGGGGGGGGTTGGGAGAGACTGACGTGGGGGGGATGGGAAGATGAGGCTTTCGGGGACACCTGGAGGAGGTGTGTACGGGTTCACTCCATGCATGCACTCATGATTTCAGAGAGCAATGTGGCTGCTCATCTTGCATTAGTTCAGTAGGCGCGGAGGATCTCCTGTGGGGGGTGGTGATGGGGCTGGGAGGAGTCCTGGGGTCCAGGTTCAAAGGCCTTTGGCCTCCTTCCAGAAGGCTCCACCGTGTCCCCAGGCTGAGTAGGAACGGGTCGCACAGTGTCCCGCTGGGCCCCCCATCATCACCCCCAGGGTCCCTGCAAAGGTCACATGCGCGGGCACATTTTTAATTTGAGTCATGTTTATGCAAATGTGCATTAGAAGACAACCGTGTAATAGGCACACATGTGTGCGAACCCGGCGCTGTTGCTCAGGGTGAACCCAAATTGGCACTTCAGTAAAAAGAGCAAATTGGCTTTAAAGAACTGCACTGGAGCCAGGTGCCGGTGGCTCACACCTGTAATCCTAGCTACTCAGGAGGCTGAGATCTGAGGATCGAGGTTCAAAGCCAGCCTGGGCAGGAAAGACGGTAAGACTCTTATCTCCAATACCACTAGAAAACCAGAAGTGGAGCTGTGGCTCAAGTGGTAGAACAGTTGCCTTGAGCTGAAGAGTCTAGGGACAGCGCCCAGGCCCAGAGTTCAAGCCCCATGACAGAAAGAAAGAAAGAAAGAGAGAGAGAGGGGGGGGGAAGGGAGGGAGGGAGGAAGGGAGAAAAAGAAAGAAAGAAAGGGAGAAAGAGAGAGAGAGAGAGGGGGGAAGGGAGGGAGAGAAAGAAAGAAAGGAAGGGAGAAAGAGAAAAAGAAAGAAAGAAAGGAAAGAAAGAAAGAGAGAGGGGAAGGGAGGGAGGAAGGGAGAAAAAGAAAAAGAGAGAGAGAGAGGAAAAGAGGGAGGGAGGGAGAGAAAGAAAGAAAGAAAGGGAGAAAGAGAAAAAAAGAAAGAAAGGAAAGAAAGAAAGAGAGAGGGGGGAAGGGAGGGAGGGAGGGAGGGAGGAAGGGAGAAAAAGAAAGAAAGGAAATGAGAAAGAAAGAAAGAGAGAGGGGGGAAGGGAGGGAGGGAGGGAGGAAGGGAGAGAAAGAAAGAAAGGAAGGAAGGGAGAGAGAAAAAAAGGAAAGAAAGAAAAAGAGAGAGAGAGGGGAAGGGAGGGAGGGAGGGAGGGAGGAAGGGAGAAAAAGAAAGAAAGGAAGGGAGAAAGAGAGAAAAAGAAAGAAAGGAAAGAAAGAGAAAGAAAGGAAAGGAAAGAAAGAGAAAGAAAAGAAAGGCAGGCAGGCAGCAAGACGGCTGCTGGTTAGATCAAAAGGAGCACATTCTGGAGCAGCCGTCTGTCTGCCCCGGGGGGAGGGGGGCAGCCTGGGGCCCCTTCCTCTGTCCTACCATGGATCCCTGTGCCCAGCAGACCCGTCCTGTGGCGGGAGGCCCGGTGGGTGTCCGCGGGGGCCTCTTGATCCTGAGGCCCTCCTGGGGCCTGATCCACGGCCTTGTACCTCAGAGAAGCCCAGCTTCCCGCCGCGGGCTGGCCACCCCATGGGAACACCACAGCTGACCTTGTCCAAGGACACCCACAGCGGCCGACGTGGCAGGCGTAGGAGCCGGCATCCGTCTGGTCTCTGGGCTGTGTCAGCGCATGGGTGCATTGCCAGGCCTGGACATATACTCATGTCCTGCCCTCTGGTACTCGGCTGGTATGTGACACACCCACCCTGGGTGCACAGGCAGCCCGGGCCCACAGTCCTCGCCCCGGCCTCTTAAGAAACATGGTTGATGTCCCCCCTGGCTGGTGGCTGTCAGGAGCAGTCACCCCGCAGCGCCCGGCCTGCCACCCGGTCCCAGCCACAAGCTGGTCTCCGGGTAATGGAAACGTCAGTGTGATTCATGGGTTTGTCTACAACAGCCAGGCTGGAAGACAGAGCCAGCCGGGGAGCCTCGTCTGCAAAGAGGACTCAGGGCCATCACTGGGGAGGAAGAGAGGCTGCCCAGAGCACCCTGAGCTGCCAAAAGGGGTCTGGGTTCAGACCTCCATTCAAGCTCTAGTTACTGAGAGACATGCATGCTTCTGGGGCCAGGCGGCTGCCTGGTACACACACAACCCCATACAAGAAGATATCACTTCAGACTGGGTGAGTGCCCTGTAGATTAGGGCGGGAAGGGTGAAGCAGGTAAAGTGTGTGGAGACAAAGGCATGTGCAAAGGCCCTGGGGTTGGTAGTGGTTCGGTGTGGACCGTGCAACACTATGGTAGGAGAGTATGCTTGAAACCCTGGTGAGGACAGGAAGGTTTGGGGGAGGGGGGCTCTGCCGGCTAAGGAAAGGGGGGGCTCCTCATCTTGAGGGGTGCTGGAAGCCTTGGGTAGAAGGGTTCTTAAAGGCAGACATTTGGGAAGGTCGGATGGAGAGGCCACTTGGAGGCCGCAGAGGCCTTGTGGGACACCGAGTGAATGAAGTGTGGAAGAAATGCAGGGTGGGGTCTACACGTGCACTGGAGGACAGGGACCCA